ATATCATATTTGCATTATATGAATGCCATTCGGATTAGATTGCGTTTAATTGTTCAGATTTATTTTAAATTCGGATTAATCGTGCAGATTTAATTGTGCTTAAATTGCATTCGTATTATAAATTATAAAAATCATGATAGATCAAGTTTTTCATAAATACCACAAATTAAACAATGTGCCTTGAGCTGAAGAAAACATATTTTTTAAGACAGAGTCCTATTTTTTATATCATAGAGTCCTATTATTATTAGAGTCATCAGAGTCCTATTATTTATAACAATTTATAATAATCGTTAATCATCAATCAGATCACTTTCCGTCCAATTCTGATCTGTACAATGAACAACAATTTGGTCGAAATTATGATAAAACTGCGATTTTTAATTTGCTGGTTTTTTTTTAAACTGCCACCACTAATTTGTTGCAACTCGTAACAACGTCAACTGATTCCGATAAAATTTTTGGCATGCGTATCAGTTACCGAGATCTACGAGAGGCATTTTTTAAATTTTCGTTATAGGCTCAGATAAAAGAGTTCAAAAACGTCACTCTAGGTAATAGCAAAATTTTAAAAAAAGCATTTTGATCATCGTCTAGTAGACTAATTCTAAATCACTATCATCTAAAAAAAAAATTCAAGTCACTCGGTCCAGTTTCAAAAAAGTTATTGCATTTTGAAAGATGTACGCTCAATTTTATTTTAAAGTTCCATGTTTGTTTTAAGGTTAGATGTTTTACGTCAGAGGCGGCTGCCCTGAATTCTCAATTTTTGTGGATCGACGATTAATAGTACCGCGTTGCTGGTGGTCAAACGAGTTATAAAACATTTTCTAGGGTTTTGCGATACGATAGCCTCTGTAGCGGACCCGCAACGTGGGAGGGGAGGAATTTTCGGGCAATTCTAACCTAGCGGAAATTCTAGCCTTCCCTATTCACCCCTACACCTCGAATTTCGACGATTTTGTTTTATTTTGTTTTCCCGACTGCGCCGATGGCCGAGTCGATAGAATGTGAACGCGCGAGAAACATCGCGACAGAACGTAACAGTGTATGTATGTGCCACATTGACACACACGGACACTTCCGTAACAAATTTGATTGGTAGCTTCGATGTCATTTTTTACTATACTAACATTAACCCTAGAAAGATAACCATATGACAACGTACGTAAAAGATAACCATACGCTTCAGAGGCGCATGCTTTTCTAAGGCGTCAATTTTATACTAACAATGGATATTTATTTAAGTTAATCTAGTCATTTTAAAGGTTTGGCATTATTGTCAAAATAAAATGCATTTATATTATATTTTTTTATATTTTAAGTAATTTTAAACTTAAATCACTAGACCTCTATGAAAAATTAACAAAAATCAACAGTCTTCGCAGGCGCCTCTGCGACGTAGGTTATCTTTCTCGGGCTAAGCATGCGTGCCCCGCGTAAAAAAGAAATAAAAGTCCCGATGTTTCAGGTAAATTTGATAACAGAACAGTATAACTGATTACGCTGTCCGACACGATTTTTGATTTAATAATTTTTTAAATGTTACATTTCTTGAAACATGTTGTTAAACAAAGGAGATATGTAACTGGTAATAAAATATTCAAATATTATTTACACAAAGTGGGTGCCCCATTGGATCCCTCCATCGGTGTCGATGAATATTTTATTGCTAGTTTCATACATCTATTGTTTAACAACAAGAAGTTTAACATTTTTTAAATTATTATTCACTTATGATCGCGATGTCGCTTCATATTTGTATTTTACATAATTTTATGATTTGTTCACATAATATGTATTTTCTTGTTGCAACTTGTATGACCGAGTTCACTTTATGGGGATGGGCAGTGTGAATATAATTCATCTTAATTTGTTAATGCATCTGAAAATGACACTTTGCTAAACGTTGACACTAATTTATAATTATTTAGGATCAAAAATAATTAGTTAATCTGCCAAAATACTACGCCATCAGCCAACGAAATCTGTATCAGTCTGAGAACACCGATGATAAAGTAACAAACTTGTAGATACGAATTAACTATTTCCAACCTAAGCCGTTTCTTTTCTTTGATATCAGAATTTTCTGTAGCATTACATAATTCAAACATATTCTCAGCTGTAACTTCGCAGTCCACCCATTAACTGCCAAATTTACTACAATGCCAAAATACTACAATTGTCTTTGGATATCATATAATTACGATACTATTCATTGATGTAGTAAATAAAGTATCAAAAATGCCGATCATATATACAATCTGCATATAAATATATATGATAATATTAAGAATGAAACGAAGCACTTCAATACAACGTTCAATTGACTGTATTACGAACGATGCGTTATATTAAACCGATCGTATGTTACACACGTTAGAACGTTTTTCTCGATATTGTTATCGCAACTCTGACATACAAAAAAGCTATTAGCGCATACGTAAATATCGTGTCTGGCTCGTCATAGGACTGCGAAGAGTCAAATTACGTTCAATCGTGAAAACGTTGACACAGGTTGAAATGGGACGTTTGGAAATTTGACACAGTAAGAGACAGAGACAGACAGACAGACAGAGAGAGAGAGAGAGAGAGAGAGAGAGAGAGAGAGAGAGGGAGAGAGAGAGAGAGAGA